AAAAATGTAAAACGCAAAAAATGTAAAACGCAAAAAAATATAAAACGCTAAAAGTATAAAACGCTATGATTAACTTAACACCTAAAAAATAATATAATAATCATTATGATTATTCCTTATTCTGGATTAAAATTTTATTCCTTATACCATAAATTATCATTCCTTATTACATATTTTATTGTTCCGAAATTAAAAATTTTATTCGTGCATATTATTCATATATTTGATCAACTATTCCAAATTACATATTCCGATTTATTCCAAATTCCAATATTCGACTGGATTAATTATGAAACATGATAATAACAATTTTGAGAAATGTGAACAACATACGATAAGGATATCAAGCCAACGATAACGTTCAACGATTTTATCAGACCTACGCGATTGATTCAAGCCTACAAAAAACGTACAAACTCACGCAACTCTAATAAACGATTTTATCAAACCTACGTGATAGAATCAAGCCTACGAGAACATTTGAGACTTATGCGCTAACCAAGAAGAAACCGAGTACAATCGAAACGGGAAAAACTTCTAGGACAACAAGCTCTCGATGACTGCTGAGAAGAAGCTTTGTTCTTTGTAGAAGAGGGGGAATGTTGATTAGTCTTATTTGAATATTATTTATTTTTAAAATATATTAACGTTATTTCATTTGAATATCTTATATTATTTAAGTTGATTGTTTAATATTTTTCAATTAACTTTTATATATATATACTGATATTTTTTTAGTTCTTTTAGACATAGAATAATAATAAAATATTTTAAAAAATAATTAATTTGAATAGCTTTTTTCAGAATGAATGAACAAATTAATATAAACTCGTATCGGGATGCGATTACATCCATTTCCATCCTAAGATTTCCATAATTAAATTATGAATTCTACCTTCAAAATATAATTTCAAATTCTAGGGTCAAGCCATCTTTATCTACAACTTAAAGGTTATGTATGAGGAGAGTTTTAATTTTTTATAAAATAATTAAACAGGAATTATTTTTATACCTAAAATTCCTTTTCCCATTTAAAAGTCATTTATATATTATAAAATAATATATAAATAAATGCCATTATTATTAAATTAAAAGATATTAATAAGCATTTACTATAAATTTTAGGAATTCTGATTTTTTATGTTAAAACGTATTTCACCCAGAATGCAACGCGCCCTAATTATGATTTACTCTGAACGGGAGATGTTCTAACTCTTCTGAGGGTGCTATATCAAGGACGGCATCCGTTCCGGGTGAACCTTATTTAGAAGGGTTTGATAAACATTTTAAATAAAAAAATATATAATTATTATAATTGTGTTATTTTTATTTCTGTGATGAAAAGAGCGCTCCCGAGAACATCCAATATCTTTTCTTTTTTTTAAAAAAACGATGTTCCTAACTACTGCCGTACATCCAGCTTTAGGTTACGCAGTTCCGCTAAATAAATTTCTGTCCTTCAAAAAATAACTTGACCAAATGTTTTGCATAATTAAGTAAATCAAATAATCCTGCTAAATAGTCATCATAAATTTTAAAATTCCATAATATGTCTAGTTTATTTATGAAATTTAATATTAAATAAATTAACATTATGAAAACTTCTGTATATTTCAGGGTTGTGCATTTGACCAGTCAAATATAGTCAAATTCAAATAAATGCTTTTTACGCCAATATTAACTTTATTTTGTATATATATAACATTATAATGAATCTATGTAATATTAAATTTCATTTTTTTAATTCATTCAATAGATTATGTTTAGCCCTCCGTGGGATAGTCTTGTCCCGATTCATATTTAATATCATTATTTTCTTTTATATATTTAATAAATATTAAGTATGATATACTTTTACCAATTTTCCTGTTGTAAAAGTCTTCAATCGATTTCTGTTTTTCCTATGAATATTGCCCCAAACCAACCAATTTCTTTCTGAAGAAGAAGTCGAACTAGGAAATGTTAGTAAAATATTAGCTATTTCTCTTAATGGGCAAGGGGCAAAGTGCATTCCACCCACTTGAGGTTAAATCGGATTGTTTCTATGGAAGTTACCACTTCCACATATTTTGGCTATTAAATATGCTGCTTTTATTTCTGAAATTTATTATATCACTTAAAATATTTTGATTATCACCACCTTGTAAAATACCTGATTCTTGTATTATATCACATGCTTCATCAAATTCAATACTAGAGTTTCCCCCCTTGATATTGGGTGTATAGACCTGTGCGCCGATGTCTCAATCGACGGTGGCGTTATTTTTTAATTTTTTCATCGGCGTTCGGCGGCGCGCCAAATTCGCCGCCGCCTACTAAATTTTCGGCGGTGGTGCGATATTTATTTAAAAAAATTTTTAATTTATAAATCAAAGTATTAAATTTTTTTATAATTTATTTGGCCGCTTTTTTCTAACACATTGTTAACAAAATTTGATTCATTCCTGAAATTATTTACTGTCTCACTCCAATTTAAATTATTTTCTCATTCTCAGAAAAAGACTATGGAATTGCATTTTTACTCAGATCAGGGTTCGATAAACAACACATATTAGTAATATTCTATTGATTTTTATTATAACAAAATTAAAATATAAATTTGGAATACAAACAAAATATAAAGTATGAAATATAATAAATCAGAATTCAGACTCAGCAAAATTATAATTGTCATGAATAAATAGTATTTTATCAAGATTCGTGAGACATAAAGAAGTCCTTTTTGCATTGAGTATTAATCCAGCAATGGAAAAATTCTTTCGCTGGGCGTACTGGTTGCAGGTATACAAAGAACCTTCCTAGCTAAATTAGCAAGCCTAAAAAGTTCCCGTCGTTTTTCTTCCAGAAGGTTAATGTGCATCCTCTTCTGGGATATTATGTTGGCTGAGCAAAATATGACATTCTTGTTCTAGATTATTAATGTTGTTATAATCGTTGCTTGGATGGGAATGTTTATGAGCTATTTTATCTATATAATAACTATGTTTGCCCATTATTCAACTTGAATCTCATTCTGTGCATTTCTATCATGCTCTAAAAGTTTTAGATGTATATTTAAAAATTACAATGATGTCGTAAAATTCGAATTTAAATATTCTGAAACAATTTTAAGATTTTAAAATCTTGGATCAAATAGAGTCGCTAAGATCTAATGTTTAAAATATAATTTTATTAGTAAAAATATAAAATAACTTGAAATTCAGTAATAGGAAACCCATGGTCAAGTTTTTTTTCATATTTTATTTTAAGCAAGCAATCAGATCTATTGCTTTGTAGGGTTTCTATTTCCCTCCGAAATAATAACCCTAGTTTATTGTCGATCCCTTTTGGGAAGGAAGAAATTCCACCGACTCTCAGAGATTCAATACTGAGTAAAGCTCATCAATCATATCCCATTCATTATTAAAGAGTTTTAAAGATTATTTTCCTATTTTATTTAGAACATTATTTATAGGAATTTTGTTTACACTGCGAACACTTTCTAGCATAATTAATATGCTGTGCCAGCAGGTAGGGCAATTTAATTTTAAAGTTTTTGTATTAATTAGATTGGTTGGTGCAATGCCATTTCTATTATCCGATTCATCAGACATATCAAATTGGTCATCAAAAGATGGATCAGAATCATCAGATATGACCTGTCTCATAAATTGACTGCAGACAATTAGGATGCTCTTCCTCAATTTCACATTCCAAATCAGCTACTCGATATCTGAGGGCTGAAATTATTTCTCTAATTTTTTTAATGAGAATATCAATAAATGGATTATGTTTATCCGAATCTTCCTCATCCTTTTTCCCCAATTTTAAGCAAGGTTCACAATAAATATAAACAGGCATTATTGTGATTTTCTTAATTTCATTCTTCATAATAAGATTTCCAAAGTACCTCCAGACATAACTTGATTTATGATTAGTAGAGAGAGTTGTTATTTTATTGTATAGGGTGGTTTAAAACGTGCAAGTCCATAAAAATAATTAATATGTATTGTTTGTGGAAATAAAATATGATGTAGGAATAAATGTAAATGATATACATTATTCTATTATATATAGCAATAGAATACAATTCATATGTTAATTTTATTAATGTTAATATTCAAATTTAAATAATAATAATTTAATATATCATATCGTTTTTTACGTTATCCAAAGTATATTTGTCCCTTGCACTTTCAACAATGAGGTAGCTAAAGCTTGGAGTATAGGTAAAATTTTAAATTTTTCGTCCAAGATATTTCTTCATTTTATATATTATTGGTAATTTCTACGGGATAAATATCACATACAGCTTTTTCAACAGATGCTTTCAGAGCTGTCTTACATATTTGTATTTGCTCCATACATTTTATTAAAGATGCCTATCTTGTTTGGCTAATTAAAATTAATGTAGATGTTATACCATGTTGATTCTTATTATGGAAAAATACTGCGGCTAGTATGTGTTTATTCTTGAAAAATTTAACAATTTTTTTTAATTATTGAAATATGGTAACTAAAGTCGTTCAATCGTTCAAAATCGTGAAAGAATAACTGTAAATGCGCTGCACAAACATAATATTGTAAATGATTATAAATAGATTCAGCTTTTAGAATTCTTCAGGCTGCTTTATTGTTAGCGGCATTATCAGTAACTAAAGAATATACTTTTACCGGATTCAATTCATGAATTACATTTTTAAATTCCTGAACAATATAATCTGTCGTTTGGCGATTTTCCTCAGTTTTTGAAAATTAGTAGAATATTGGAACAGGCGTCATCATCATAAAATTAATAATACTCTCTTTTCTGATGTTGCTCCAGCCACCTGATACAATTGATAAGTGTGGAGCGTTATCTATTATATCTGCAATTCTCGCCCATATCTCCTGACGCTTTGTCTAGAAGATATCCAACCCTGCCTTCGTATGGGTAAAATGTAAATAGAACGTATTTTTTTTAAAAAAAATTTTGGATGTAGGGATTTTCAGTGATTAAGAAAGGTTCAGAGATAATGGAATCAAATTTTCTTGAGTAACAAGTCAATTTGATAATCATTCTCACTAATTTCACCCAATTCTTCGTTAGAGCTAGAAGTATACAAATTAAATTTATGTGATTTTTTGTAGAGGTTGATATTTTGGAATTTGAATAAATTTTTTCTTTAATTATGACAGGGCACATAGTAGAGCTGCTTAAATGCTTTACCATTCAATCAAAGTGGGTAATATAAAACTTCTTGCAAAACCTGCATACCGCTTTAACTGATTTACCATCGCGTACTTCTTGAAAATGTTTTCGAACTTGAAGATTTGGTTTGACCATAATCTCTTAATATATTAAATATAAAAGATTTTGTTATTGTAAAGTTTATTAATCTTAATTATTTTATAATTATCGACAATTATTTCAATGATTTGGCTTAATATTATATAAAATATATAACTTTTTACCAGAATTGAATAAATTATTTTGTAAATCTGACCAGAACAAACTAAAAAGAAATTTAATTTATAAATTCAAATGTAGCAAGTGTAAAATAAATGAGAATTAATATAATTTATACTCGGCTAAATATTAAAGAAAATTTAAATTTATTAAAAAATAAACCATGACTTAGCAAATTATATTTATTTATTTTAAAAAAAAATTTTTTGTTTTCGATTCCTTCATGATGCAAATATATTTTTAAATAAATTGTAACCTAATAATTGATAAACATGCTTTTAATGCATAATAGTTAATTATATCAAAATATTTATTCGCCAATAATATTTTAGAGTATTTGATAGTATTTGACAGGTCAAATACTCCTCCGGTCAATTGACCGATATGCCAACCCTAGTAATTTTATTCAAATTTTATAAGTATTATTTTCCATTAGAAAAACTTTATAAACAGTTTGAACCTAAACATTTTTTTTCTCTTTAACCCTTGATCATTATTGATTCAATATCAAAGGATAAAATGGCAGTGCCACTGATGTTGCCAGTTTTCTTTATGTATTTTCAATTCCCCATTTCAATGTGGACTTATAGAGAATCATTAATTTAATGAATAAGAGTTAGAGAAAAAATTTCCACTCTCATTCGATTTATTAGAGGCCGAATTGATGGTAAAGCAAAATTTTGAGTGAAAAGTTCACGAAATTTATTTCTAAAAGATATTTTAACCTTGTAAATATGCATATTAATCAAATAAAGATAAATAAATTTATAATTTGACAAAAAATTTACTAATACTTATATAAAATGTGATAGCGTTTTTCCCTTTTTTTTAGAAAATCATTTTAATCATTAAAAATATTGCAAATTTACTTTGTGAATATAATAGGTCTATTAACAACCCTGTTAAAATAAAAATGCATAGAATTCTTTTAAGTTTACTGAAATAACTAATTTATCCTCTTTTTCTAAATAGAAAAAACTTAAGGGAGATTTATAAAGGATAGTAAAATTTTATCAAATTCTTTTTCTCATTGTATGTTTAATATTATATTCTTAGCAACGTCTACCGTGGACAGTTCACTCCTATAACTTTTAGTTTTTTAAAAAATTTAGCTCACAAAATTAAATGACAAACATTTGAATTCCTATTCCTTGAACATACAAATCAAAATTTTTAAATTTAACTATTGTTCCTTTTTAGGAACCCAATTATGTTTTTCAAAATTATTAAATTTTATATTATTTTTTATTTTTACAATTTTACAGATATAATAGTTTTAATAAATAAATCACAACTTTAAAAAAAAATGGCCAAATCAAATAAAATGACCAAATAAAAAAAAATCTTCAAAACATTAGCATTTCTATTCATAACATATACCATACCTATAAAATATATAATTATATTTAACTTTGTTTATGTATAAAGTTGCAAAGAAACAAAAAACTTTGTTTACTTGTAATTCAAATGTTAAGTAGGCGCCAGACCATTATTTCATCGTTATAATTGTTATTTCTGTATAAAATTTTTATTTTTTGAAAGGTTAAAATTAAATAAAGACGAACTTCCTTCCTGTAATCCTAAGAATACTGGTTTAAAATTCTTATAATCAAAATATTTTATTCACCTATCAATTTTTTAGAATATAGTTTTCTTTCTTACTATCGCCTTGGAAAGAAATTTACGAAAGAAACTAGTATTTTATGATTTTATTAGTTAATTTAAAAAAAAATTTATTCGGGGGTGCTTAAAAGCTACTTTTTTTAAAATTATTTGTTGTCATATAAATAGTATAAAATTTAATTGCCATTGTTTTGTTTAAAATATTTAATCAACTTTAGGGATGCTCAATAATAATTTTTTTAGGAATGCTAATTATATTGTAGGGGAAGTATTCCTTTGCAATCTCTTGAGGCTAATGCTTCATATCATAATATCTTCTTTTTTTTTCTTTCATCCTTTCTTTTGATATAAAAGCGTTTGGTCAAATATAATTTTTAAATCCAAAAATAATCAGTCCCTAATCACTGTAAAAATTAAAATATTTATAATATAATAAAGAATTAATTAACATTACAGTGTTACATACATAAATGGTAAATATAAAAATATATTACTACAATTGTAAAAATTGGGGACAAACAATAAATTCTTAAATGGTACTTTTTAGCTTGAGGGGATGAAGACAATGGTAAGCTGCGGTACCTTTGTTTTGGGGTACAATACGATTAATAAAACATGTTGTAATAAGTATATATAATTGAATTTTTTTATTACATGAATTTATTCATAATACATAAATAAATAAGAATTAACTATAGTTTTTAATATTTTTTAAAAAAAACTAGTTTCTTTCATCTCTTAATTATTTAGACCTCATTTTAATCTTTTTTATACTGCTCAAACCTTACTTATATTGTGGGTCAAAACTTTCATATTTATGATGATATTTTGTAAATTTTTATTATTTTGGATTAATCTTGCATTATCAATCAAATCAATATATTCATTCCATCACAGAAACTTCGAAGATACAGTTTTCGTAGCTCGATGCCAGCTAAACTGCTTTGAAAAAGTAAATTTTAATACATAATTTCCCCTCATCATTCAGGCGTACTAAAATAAAATTAATTAAAATTTTGTAGTTAAGTTTATAATATGTTGTGCTCAAATAAATAAAATGAGCAAGAATAAGTTAAATTAAAAGAAATAGTCAAGAACCCATTTTAAAGTAGTTGAGATCGACGATCTGCCTTATTGGTCCTAGATCAGGACCAAATAGCTTGCCAGTTCGGTCTTTTTTCGGAGACCCCGTTTCGGACCGGTCTTTTATATTTACTGATTCAAAATCAGAGTAGGCAAACATAATTAAAATCAAAAAAGGATTAGAAATTTTTAAAAGTTATTATAATCTTTAAAGCTGATAAGGAATAAATCATTATACCCCTTTTCTGACTGAGCATTTTAAATTTTTTTTAAATAAAGGATATTTATATCTATCTTTTTCTTTGGTTCTTCAATAATCAAATGGACTATAAAGTTTTACTGTTAAATTGATGTAATTTTATCTATTTTTTTAAGTATCGCAATCAGACAAAAATAATTATTCGAAGAGATGCAATCGTCAAATTAAAATGTCTAGGTGATTCATGTTTTCAGGTAAAAACAAATATTTTTCGAAATTAATTAAAATTCCTTTTGAAATTCAAAAATAGGTTTGAATACCTTTCTCTAAGGTATTTTAGAAATTTTTCAGTGCGTTATTTACCATATGCAATGGTTTATAGAACATAAAATTTTTGCGCTAAGGGAGATCGGGGCAGTAATCGCTTTCTTTTAATCCAAATTATGTCACAGGATTAGAAATAAGAAAAAATAATTTTTTTTTAAAGATTATTCCTTTTTTTTGTGATTTCAATTTTAAATTTATTTAGATCATTGTTATTTTATTTCTTCATTATGTGACATTAGGATACTGAGTTTATGGAGGTATTCGAAATCTCTCTAATTTAAATTATTAAGGTGATTAAAATGATTAGATTTGATTGGAAATGTATAGCATGTGCAGAGTACCCACACTTTGAATTTCAAACAATTTTGCCGTAAACTTTTGTTTTTATTTACATTATGAAAATTAATATAAAGAGTAATTGTAAAGTTTTAAGCAAATATGTTTGAAATTTACAGTGTGAGTACTTCCCACATGCTGGAAATATACCTACAAAAATACTAATCGAATATTTCCACTATTCGTATTCGATTCATATTTTGGAATCAAATAATTGTATATTCGATTTAATTAAATTTTTTAAAAAATATTTTCAAAAATAGATTATTAAATTTTTTAAAAAATATTTTCAAAAATAGACTATTAAAAATTTAAAAAATGCCTAAAAACTGTAAATAAGTTCCATAAGGAACATGTTAATAATTAAGAGTAATTTCAAGTATTTACAAATTATATCGAATAATAGATAAAAAATTATTCGACATAATATATTTTCCTTACTCGAATCCAATAGAATAATTTTGTAATCGTATTCTTAAAATATCGAATAATTCATTTTTGGTATAGCTGGAATACATATTTTATCAAATTCGATTTTTTAATTTATATTTCTACTAGTGTAGGAATGAAATCACTACCCATTGTAGAATCACTATAGTGATATTTTTTAAGAAATATGATTATTACATAGGCGTATCTAGGATTTTGATAAGGGGGGTTTCACTATTAAGTGGTTTTTTCCCATACATTTTATTGGAGATGTTTAGGTCAATTAATTGTAGGTTCAATTTTATAAAATTAATATGGGATTCTCTTTTTTTCATAAAAAAGCTCTTTTTCTGAAAAATTTAAATTATAACTTGTTAATTTAAAAAATTATTACATTTTACTAATTTTTCTCTCAAATTCTTCTTTATTAGTGTGGAGAGGAGGGTAGGAGTGTGCAGGGGTAATTTTTTTATCAGTTTAAAATTATATTTACGAAAACAGTCAAATTTGTGATGCTGAATGGGGAAGGATCTCACCTCCCTTCATTCCTCTTTGTTACGCGCCTGGATTATTGGAATAATTTTGTATTTTTTATATAAATTTTTACACCGTTTTTCTATTTCATGCTACATTTTAGTGATATTCTTATTCTTAGTGCAATATATATTAGTGATCTGCATAGGGCCTAACTTTTCAGGCCCGGTCCGATCTCGAACAAATACTTTTTCATTTGTCCCTAAAAGCACCCTAAATAAAAATTATTTGTCCGCTCGGCCCCACTCGAATTTATTTAATTATAGAAAAATTTTAATATTTCTTTGATTGTAAAAAGACATTTTTCAAATAAAAAATATTAGCACCTTGTTTCTTGCAAGAATTTTAAAATATATACATTTATTTGACAAAATTTAATGATATTATATTTAAGAATTTAAGCCAATCCGTGCCGACCCAGTCCAAACGGAAATTGATTTTTAAATAGAACCCGGCTCGAAACCCATTTAGACCGGGCTCCGGCCGGTCCGTGATTTGCAGATCTGCAATATATATAATTTGTAATAAAATTGTTTATCTTTTTAATTTTTCCTAATAATATTTTTAAAATATTAACCTTTTATTTTATATAAAAATATAAGATTAAATGAATTAACCCATAATATCTATCCGAGACCTGCAGGCCCGGCCCCTTATTTTAATTTTTTAAATACACCCAGGCCAGGGCCTGAAATTTTTTTTAAAATATCCGGATCGGGCCGTATATTTTAAAACCAAATGTTTTAAATCGCCAATAGTAGCTATAAGAATTAAAAAGAGAATATATTATAAAAAAATCCGGGCCAGGCCTGAAAACATTTTTTTTTTAAGTCCGGGCCCGGCCTGAAAACTTTTATTTAATCCGTGCCGGACCGGGTCTGAAATAGAAAATCTTTAACCAGGCGGGGCGAAAAAATTATCTGGGCCGGGTCGTGCAAATGGTGCCGCTGCAGGTTTCTGATGTCTATAGAACATTATTGTGATTTTATAATTTCTTCACTTGATAATATTGGCGGCAATATTAGATATGTAAAAATAAATTATGTTTTATAATTATATAGGTGGTCATTTTAGATTTGCAAAATATTTATTCATTATAGATTTCATCACTACAAATATATTGGCGGTCATTTTAAATTGGTAAAAAATATTATCCACACTAGATTTTATTGCTTCAAATATATTGCCGGCCATTTTAGACCTGTAACAAATTTATTTATATTAGATTTCATCTATTCAATATATTTTTTTAAATTTAAATATACCAATATCTTAAAACACCAATATAGCCTTTTATAGTTTGTAAGATATTTGTAACTTAGAAATCAATAATTATGAATTTTAATTTTATGATTATTTTTAAAAGTTTAGGTTCGGTCATAAATTATCACTAAATACGATTGTTTTTATAAAAAACGCTTCGTTATTTAATTTGTAATGATATTTAAAAAAATGCGAAAAATAATACATTAAAAAATACACACAAACTATTTTGGTTCTTAAAGGAAAAATAAACATTTACTCATTTTCACATTACTCTTTAAAATTCATTATTTAATATTTAACTCAAAACGAAAATGTCTCGATTTATAGGCACTATATAAAATTGATATAAAATTGATTGGAGGTTGTATTTATTATAAAAGAACCTTTCTAGTTTTAATAAATTTTATTTTTTATGATACATATTTATTTTACAACATTGGCAGATAAGATACATATAATCAAATACATATATTTTTATTTATTTTAATAATTATTTAATATATTAATAAATCACTACTTATATGCTCATATATAATTATATATATTTTTTAAAAGTGCCTGCTTCCGTGCAATACATATTTTACAAATCTGTTAGAATGTGTGGATATTTGTGTAAGCGTTAATTGATCATTATATAAGTTATTTTATAATTAATCATAATTATTTTATTTATTTTAAAATTAACTCTTTTTTAAAAAAATAGAGCAATCATGCTTGCAAAAATTCATGCCGCTTTATGCAATATATTGCCAGCGAGCCTCAGTCAAATCAAAGTTTGTCCTTAAAATTCTTATTTTTTTTATTAATTTAAACAACCTTTGATACCTGTACGACGACATTTTATCTGGTGCATGTTCAAGTTTGTTATTGAATTTATAAAAAAGACATCCAAAGCTTTAGGTCTTGAATTTAATAAAGATAAACTCAGATGTGTTTTTTAAACAGATGCCCAACTGACAATTTTAAAAGCGTTAAAATTATCGATAGGGAGTCATGATCCTTATTAGGATCTCCATTGAATAGTACTATTCTCATAATAAATAGCCTAGAGAAAGTAACTTTTCTCATAACCAAACTGAAAGCTATGCTGCTAAATAAGGGCCCAATCCTTGTATTTGATAAGGAAATCGCCATGGTTTGTAAATTTTATATATATTAGGGGCATTTACTTTGTTTTTAAAATTCTGTTTCCTTTCCTCTTTAGATATTAATCAAAAACTTTCTGGAAGAATTTCTTAATATCCATTTCTCTGACTTTAATTGGGAGATTAAATATTGGGTTTGGCTAACTATCCAAATCACCTTGAACCGATCACTTATTATCTGATGGCAAAATACCTGATGACCTTACAACTACTCCTTGGTTTAGAAGAAAGTATCTCATTTAAGATATTACCTGTCTCCCAGTCCTCTAACCCATACATTTCATTTCGCTTAATAGTTATCAGATCAATAGAGATCATGAATCCTCTTTTAAAATTTTGCATGTAGTTTTACCACATGTGCTAAGATTAGATAAGATGAATGTTTTATAAATAGTAAATATACTAAATTAGAATATTTAATTCACTAATTAGCTCTAATATAAATCTAATAGATTTCTTAAATTAATTTAGGAAAAATATCGACAATTGAATCATGGAATGGCAGGAATTTTAAAGATCCCGAGATTTTGTGTGTAGATAGGTATTTTGATAGGTATGCTAAAAGGAACGATATAAAACTAACCTCACAAAAACGCCACATGGATACTAGAATACTCTACACTGTTTATTTAGGGTGGCTAGATCAAGAAAGCAGCGATGTGAATCGAGCAACACCAATCAAGTTCCTATATTATGTTATCGAAATGGGCATAATTAAAAAGGAGAATCATTCAGTTACGAATGCAAGTTATGAAGTCGAAGAATGGCTTTTACTTGGAAAAGTAGTTATTTTGAATATAAATATTAGTTGAATTCGATTCATTTTTATAAGAAAATTAAAATTTAGACGTCTAAATTTTATCGTTAGACTTTCCCTCTAATATATTATAAAAAACCAAATGATTAAATAACAATGGCCTAATTACCACCACATCTTGGCCAAGCTGGGCTCGTGCCTTTGATATTTGATTACCTTACAATTGCTGTTACTCCACTAGAAAAATTGCAATTAAATATTTATGTATTAGGATTTTATAAAAATAATTTTATTCAATAGATTTTGGTCAAAAAGATTAAAATTGACCTTAAACCAGGTTATTCATATGTCTTTCGTATTACACCGATTTCAGTCGAAGGTATTTTGGACAAATCTCGGGAGTCGAAGCCAATATTCCTAGCGAAAGGTTATATACAATATTAAGTTTAAACTATAAAAAAATAAAAATCTTCTCATTCAATGAGATTTATATAATCGTTTGAACCTTAGCCATAAATTTTTATAGATTTTAGTAGTGTCCATCAGAGGTCTACAAAGTCAGGGCCGGGCGCTGAGGAAAAAAAAATTATAATAGATAGATATAGACAATAAAATTGTGATCACCTGAAAATTTGTACAAAATAATTTAACGGGAAAGGCCGGATATTATGCAATATTTTAAGGGCCGGACCTGACTCTTTGGAAATATTTATTATTTAAAATAATAAAATAATATCAGAAATATTTATCCTTTATTGATATGATTTTTAAAATTTTTATTTAATATTTTATTAATACAGAGGAAATAGTTTTAATTTTCTATAAATGGCAATAATTTTTAAAGTAGTATAAAAATAATTCAATATAAAAATGACTTATAAATATATTATTTTGTAAATAAAATTTAAAAAAGCATTAATATTTTGTAAAAAAAGATACGATGCCTAAACTGTGTCAATCATTAGCCTTAATAGGCGGGTTGGCGATTTTTTGTCATCATATATTTTACAATATTCCATTCATATTTTAAACTCATAGAATATTGTTCCCAAAAAGTCTATAACTTTAATAAATGCGTTTTATCTTATCAAAATTTGATGGCTAAAATAAATTTAAATAGAATTAGTCAAATTGAATTTGAGCTATTAATATTAAAGAAGTAGGAGCCTTATGTTAAATAGCTGAGAAAGGAGGTGCGAAGTGGGGGTGGGGGGGGGCAAATAAAACCTGGAATTGGATTTATATGCTTTTGTTGGTGCATAAAGATTTTTAGATTTAAGGCCTAATTATTGATATTAAATGGGTACATATTTTTTATTTCTTATAATTATATAAAAAAATATTTTTTAATTTTTCTATTTATATGTTAATGGAAATGATAAGACTTAAAATTTATGTTGAGTTTTCATATTTATATTTCTTTAATTATTTTCATATAAGGTCACATTTTGTGATGTATTTATAGAGACATTGCTCGTTTATTATCTTTTTCGAGTATAATTTATCAAAAAAAATTAGAGATTGCAATGAGTATATATATATTTAACAAATGCACTCCCCAAAAAGAGTTTTTGCATGACAAGATTATGAATTATATTAAATTTAAATTATACTAATATACAATTTAACTTTATAGCAAATTTTGAACCCTCTTTTATAATTTAAACAGTTTTACAGATACTTATGGTGTTTAGATATTTATAATTATGATTAGTAAACCTAGTGCTTGTGTGGGTCTTTTTATAAAATATTGTTTTAAATTTAAAATTTCTTTTTGGCTATTTTGTGGATTACTTACATCAAATTTCACTAGATATTAGTGAAGGTCACGGCCCGGTCTTTGGTCCGGACTGGACCGATACCCTCGGACCGGACCACGGTCCGGAAAAAGATCGATCCAGACCGTGGTTTTAAATAAAAAACATATTTTTTTTAACCTAATTTAATTTGTTTTATCATTTTATTTAATATAAGAGTATTATATAAACAATATAAAATTAATTATGAATATTATAATAATTAATACAAATATTTAATTTAAATAAATGCTAATGTCTTTGTTTGTAGAACTTCCTTGGAAGGAATTAGAAGAGGGACTTAATGGAGGCGGAAGATCCATTCCATTCTTTAACCAAGAGCCCATACACATCAAAGCTTGTATTGTTTTGTTTGAAAGCCTATTCCTTTTTTTAGTGACAAGATCTCCTGCTTTCGAAAATATTTGTTCACAGAGGACAGATGTTGCTTGAATTGCTAAAAAATTTCTAGCTGCTAATGAGAAAACTGGAAATCTATATAATAAACTATATTGAGTATATAAAAAATATAAAAGACCTTTCACTATTGGCTTTCCACCATACTAATATGTCATCCTTTAATGAAACAAGAGGTTCATTCAAATAGGTGTGAAGTTCTGATATATTTTTTTCAATGATTTCTGCCGATATATAATCCCCTTCTGAATTTCTTTTTTGGGATAAAATTCTTTCTAAAAAACTAAATTGATTGATTTCTTCCTGGCACAAATGTTTGAAAATTAGGATTTAATAAATAAATATTAAAAATATACCTGAGAATCCGTTATTCCTGTATTTTTTTTATTTTCTATTTTCCTTAAATATTTTGAAAATTTGGTCATATACTCAATTCTATTAAGAGTATTAGGCATGTAAACTTGTTTTAATCTCGGATCCAATAATGTTGAGACATATGATTCATAGCAAAATAATTCTTTGAGATATTTCTGCATTTTATCCAGCATGTTATTAAGAATTTCTTTTCTTGTATTGTTATTATCCTTTTTTATATTATTTAAAATTTTATTATTTATATTCTCCATATATAACATGGAAATCCTAACTGTAGGATATTTGGATCCTGATAAATCAAGTGTGGTTTTATAGAAGGGCCTTAGAAAATCTACAGCCTCTTTAAGGTCTTCTTTTTCACACACAGTAAAGAAAACCCCTTTAAATTGTTTGTAATTCAAAAAAAGTACTTCTTCTATAGCATCCATGTTCTAAAAATTAAATATTTTTTAAAAATAATTGGATAAAAATGTAAAAACCTCATTCCATCTAATAGGGATATCAGAAGGGATTTTAAATTTTGTAATACCCTTATTTTCACATATTTGTACATATGCTTGATTTGATTTATTTATAGAAAAGGCTATGTCTCTACACTTTTCTAGGATAGTTGTAATATATGATAAACCTTCCTGAGATATTAGGTTTAGAATATGGGCACAGCATCTAAAGCCTTTAAATTTTTGTTCCTTATAAATATTCTGCAAAATATCCATGCTTTTTAGGATGTTATTGGCATTATCTGCAGTACAGGCCAGTATATTCTCCTCCAATTGATATAAATCAATTACTTCTTTTATAGCTAAGGATATTTCTTCAGAAGTATGAGGAAATGGGATATGATTTATATCAAGTAAAATATTTTTTAATGTAAAAGAAAAATCAATATAGTGTGCAGTAAAGGCTATAAATGAAATTTTATTTATATTGCTCCACATATCTGTGGTAAAGCTTATTAAAGAATTATTTTTATTTAAAATATCTTTTAGAGAATTTCTTAGTTTCTCAAAATTAGCCGTATAAAAATTTTTCAAATTGTAGCAGTTGAGTTCAAATATTTGATTAAATTATGAAGACCTGAATTTTCAAAAGTCTTCTTTGGCAGAGAGTCCATTATTACCCATTTTATAATGAGTTGGTTCATATGATCTGTTTAGAATTTATCCAATGGTATTGAAGAAAGTGATTTTGTACTTGTGGAGGACATATTTAAATTAAGAGTAGATTGTGTTTTTGAAATATTTTCATTTTCATTATTAGAAGTATAAATTTTATATTTTATCAAATGTCTGCTTAAGGTACCTAATTATTTTATTAAGAATAAGGTTAAATTATTTTGACAATGAATTATTCAGACAGTTTCTTAAGAAAAAATAGATATATAAATAATAACCAAAATATTTTAATAATAATACTGCTTATTTTGATTTGCTTAAAAAATTATAAACAATTATTTTGTTACTTGTTGCTGACGATATGTTAAATTTGGTATTACAGTGAACACATAATCTATGTTTTTTATTAGGACTATAAGTAAAATGTTTCTTGGACAAACTTATAATTTTCATATTGTAAAAAAAAATTAACAAAATCTAAAATAACTCCTCTAGAAAAATATCATAAAATAAAATATACAAAAAAATTATATTAATTGAATAGTAATAAATATTAATGTTCGGACAGTAAAAAATAAAAAGACCGGTCCGGACCACGGTCCTCAACAAAAAGATCGGTCCGGTCCTGGTCTAAGACCGATAGGACCGGACCGTTGACCTTTACTACTAGATATTATAATAAGACAACAACCAAGTATTTTAGTTATGTTTTAATTTATATATTATTATGATGGCTAATTTAATTGTATATATATATAATTTAAACAACATATCAAAATTATTCTATAATCATCAATCTGAATAAATGGTAATCTAGAGTTTGTTGGGCAAAATCAATACTTTTACTAAAAAAGGAAATTTAAAAAATAATTTATTGTTATAGTGCCCACTAATATTATATTAATTTTACTTGTCTATTGATATTTACCACTCCCAAGATATAAAATAGGAAGTTATATACAATTTTGAAAAAAAAGTTCCGATCTCCACTAATATTCAAGCAACAATATACATATTAATATTTGATATCAAATTACAATTATTCTCTACCATTTTATTACAGAGTCAAATTCGTCCCAAAATGAGGTAGAACTTGGGCCTCCAAAAGATCTTAAGATTCTAAATTATATATATCGCAGTAATTTAACTGTGGACGCAGTGGTGACCTGGAAATCTTCGAAATATAAAAGTTGCTATTACACGTTTTTCTGGTACCCTCAAAATCACCTCAAAAATTCCAACGATTACAAAAGCCAGAGGATTGAAATAGTAAGATAAAAAAACTTACACGCATAACCAGTGGCATCAAACATTAAGCGTATTTTATATAATTAACAGGCGAATTCGCGCTGACTATGAATGAGGGACATTGCACATCAAGTCCTTTTTAATTTTTTTGGCAGAGTTGTTAAACCCTACTTTTAAAAGTAGCGCGTTACCACTATCACTATTTGTCAAAAAAAGTAACGCGCTTATTAACTACTATTTTTTAAAAGTAGCTTTGGCTACTTTTTATAAAAAATATTTAGAAATAAATTTGTTTTATTTTTTGCTTATAATGTAATTGCATAGTATATAATACATAAAAATCAACATTTATAAATATTTAAATATAGTTAGGATTATAAAAAATTTTATGCAAAAAGACCTTAATTTATGTAATAAAAATAACAATTTAGAATAATATTTATTTTTATGCATTTTATTAATAAAATCATTTCTATCTATCATCCCAAAGTCTAGAACGAGTATAAATTTCGCCTTACTAAATAATCTCTAACGCTTGAGCGCAAGGCAGTATTTAATTCTATATACATATTTTTAATATAAGAAAAAATAATAAAAATACTCATTTGTATTTTTAGATTTAAAAAACGCATCTAAAGGATTTTCTATTATATTAATATCCTTTATTTCAAAAAAATTATCAATGGAAGTCGTTTTTATGGTTCTAAGTAGTAAATGATGGATTATCAACCAATGATATTGGCTGAGCTGTATCATTATAAAATAGACAATAATTTTATCAGCCTGTTTCTGAGAAATATTGGCATGTGCAATATTATTAATCAATTTAGCCTGAATTGAATTGGACTTTTTGGATGTAGTCTCCCCTATAACAAAATTATTAAGATGATTTTCTATCTCTATAAAACTTTTGACATGAACATTCTTACAAAATAGTAAAAAATGACAATTACCTTGTTATATCTATTAGATTTATTTGAGGATAATTCTTTTTACAGTTTGAACATTGTAGACTATTTTTGTTTTTACATTAATTTGAAAATGTTTTCAAATTTTGAAATGGAATATTTGTATTATTGTTATCAAGAACATTTTTTTCTAGGGTGCCCTACATTTCATTAATATCATAATTGACTGACTCACTTACATCGATTTGTATATCCATTTGCAATGAAATTAAATAATTTGCACCAGATGATTTAGATTTTTAATACAAATTGAAAATATAAATTTCAATATTAAATAATAAATTAAAAAATTATAATTAATTATGATATTATATTTATATTTTAATGTTTATAGTTAAATCCATTATATTTTTAAAATGTACCCAAGTAGCACGCTACTAAGCTACTTTCAAAAAAAGGAGTGCGCTAAAAAATATAATTAGAAAAAAGAGCGCGCTATTAGCTATAGCTACCAAAAAAGTTAGCGCGCTACTACTTTAACAACTCTGATTTTTGGTCATGTTAATTAATTTATTATTACACTTTTATAAAAACATTTTAGTAGTAGTTTTCACAAGGACAGAAATGCACAACTTTTTATCATTACTTATTTATTTGACACAAAAATAGCCCGGGCAAAAAACGATGATATTGAACAATTTAAGTTACGGTGCTTCGTATATGATGGAAGGTCGTTCCAATTCTAGGGATTGGAGAGAGGAAAGCCTACCATTTCAATTTAAAATGAATACTCCTTCATGCCTCACTCTAACTTTTTACGATTTTGACAGATGTGGTAAGTAACTAGTCTTTTTTTAAATAATACAACCCGACTCAATTCTATTTTATTCTTTTTATTGGTCTTTAGATATTAGTTCTTAAAGAAATCCTATTATCATTTATATAAGTATTAGCAACTTTATTGGACCCAGTTTTTGCTATGAGATGGAGGCTCATACAAACCTATTTTGTGAAAAATATTCTTTTGAAACTGTAGAAAAATTAATACATAGACGTTACACTAAAGATTTTATTAAGTACCCAGTTTTTCAGACATCTATAATTTTGTAATATTTTAAATTAAGCTCCTGCCATCACCAATATAAATCTTCAATTTTTCTTCAATCAAAAGTCCAATTTAAATCCAGCAAAGACCTATAAAATTATAAATTCCAATGGTACCATTCCTATGATCCTAAAAACAACTCAAGGATTAGTTACACTATTTATGAATTGGGACATACCCGGCAACATAAATAATAATAATAAAATTAAAAAAATCACTTTGAAACTCGAAAACATGGATATGGTATTTGATGATAATATTGAAAACTCAATTATCAGAAATATTTATGGGGTAAAAAATAATTCAAAAATATAATTAGGTTTTTAAACTATATATAAAACAATCATATAAAAGGATATTTATAATTTAAAGATGATATTTTGTTATTATAAAATACTATATATTAGGAAAAAATTTTAAATACAAATTTCGGGAATATTTATTTATCACAGTTAACTAAACTGTTGCAATACTTTAAAGAATAATAACCTAGTATTGAATTTTTGCTTTATATAAACTATATTGCTACTTCAAAAATGTAAAGCTCTAATTTAAAAGCAAGGCAATTAACTTACCATTTATATTTTCTATATTTGAGTATATATGTCTTATATGTATAAAATAATGATCAAGAATTTGACGAGTTACAGTCTGGACGCATTGGACTCAAATTCAAGCTACTGCGTAGAATTTATTCTAGTATCTATGGGAGGGCAAAGCCAATTTTCAAAATGCTTTCGCACGCCCGAACTCAAATTTGAAGGTCAAATATTGGAGATGATAAAACATAAGAGACAAATTCAAAGTAAAAATTTATATATTTTTTTAAAAAAAACACAATTATTAGGAATACATACTTTTCTATTATTTTTATATCAGATAGGCCCAATCATTCTCGATATTTTAAATTGGCCTATCCGATATATCAAATTAGTCCATCTTTGACATAATAATGGGTGAAAAAAAAAATTAATTATAATCAGGGACCCGGAAAAAGGTATTTGATATATACTATATATTTTAGTTTATTATTATTAACTATTGATGCTCTTTCCAGTATGTTATAAAATCAATCGACTGATAGCGGAGACTGCTGATATCAGCTTAATATTTTCTTTTATAGACCTCTAAATAGCTGTACTGGTACACGTCTAACAATTCTATTTGAAAAAAAAATATTATATAGCTCATGGATTATTGTATAAGGTGTTGATATTTATGGCAGCTTTGTTCGCAGCTTTAGTTCTATTTATCGGATTATGGATTACGAAGAGAAATATGTTATGCAGGATTTCAACATCTAAACGATGCAGAAATAAAAAGGTATATTTCATAGGAATTTTATGTTAATTTTTCGTTAATTAACCCTATTTATATATTTTTTTATTCTATTTTTCTTTATTTTTAAAATATCAAACAACTTTTTACTTTTTTATATTTCTTTATTTTTCCTTTATTTTTTCTTCAATAAAAATCAATAACATATATATCGTACATAAAAAAATATATAATATAATAATAATCGTTTGTTTCTCTTTTCGCGCTTATATATTTGTTTTTTTACAAATTCATCCCGTTTATTTATTATTTTATTTATCACAAGTCAATCAACTTTTTTTTAATATTTATTTATTCACGTATATTACGCTATTATCTTCCTCTCGTGCTAAGCTTAATACTTGCTCCCTTAACATTTTACTTTAAGCAATTATTGTAAAAACTTCTAAATTGTAATCATAGCCTATAAG